AGGGAGCTTACAGTCAACTGGGGGCAGGGGTGGGGGATAGGGTATCAGGCAAAGGGTCCTAAAAAATAAACAGTACAAAGGACAGGCCGTAGTGCTCTGAGAACAGATAAAAGGGATGTTAAGGAAAGGCCTCCCTGAGCAGGTGATGACTAAGTTGAAGTCTAAAAAGAAAAAAAAAAAAAGGATATAACTAAGTCAAAATGAAAGAGCGAAGAGATACGTGTGCCAAACAGAGGGAACATCAGGTGCAAAGGCACTATGGAGGAAATACGTGATGCATTCAAGGTACCAAGGAAAGACCAGAGTGGAGATCAGCCAGAGATCACGAGCTAGCACGGTACGAAAGGGGCTGGAAAGGCAGGCAGAGGGCAGACCACACAAGGCCTTGTAGGACCACTAAGGATTATGTTTTTATCATAAGAGCAATGGGAAGCCATTGCGATGTGACACAGTGGGTTTGAAAGGTCTTCCAATCTTCCATCTGAGGCATGGAGAACAGACTGGAGGGGAGAGGAAGTGAGTGTGCGAAGATGAGAACACCAGTCAGAGGCCACTGCAGGATCCAGGCAAGAGGTGCCAGTGGCCTGAACTACAGTAGCAACAGAGCTGGAGAGAGGCGGAGCTGCCCACAGCCACACAATCAAGAAGCCAACAGCGCTAAGATTCAAAGCTAGGCCTGTCTGACTTCGAAGCCCATGTTTCTCTCTACTTTGCCATTTATTCGTTAATTATAAATCATCTACTCTGTGCCAGGCCTGTGCCAGGTGCTGGGGATACAGCCATGAACAAAACAGACAACTGTTCTCATGGAATCTACAGTTTAGACATTAGACAAAGAAGAGTACATATATCAATTATATATAGATAAATAGATAGATGTATATATCACAAATTGAGATGAGACAATCGTGTGATCAGAGATTTTTAACAGGGAAAATTACCTCTAAGGACATAAAGATCTTCCAAACTGTTGATAACATAAAAGATCTACTTGCCAGCTGCATGAGGGTAAAAGACTTTGGGAAACTTTGCCTGTCAGAGTTGGATATAGAGCACCGCATCCCTGGCCAGCTCAGGAGCCCTCAGGAGAGAAGCTGGTATGTCTCAATCTTTGCATAGACCCTGTTGAAATAGAAGACTTTCTAAAAGTAACTACTAACTCCTTATTATACTCACTTAATATACTCAATATATCTCAACCTCAGGCGCCCCTCACTTATATATGTACAGCATTTTACAGTTAGTTGAGATCTTACACACAGATTCATTCATTTGAACCTCATGGCGGCCCTATGTAGAATGCAGGCAGGTTTGAATATCCTACTTGTGAGATGAGGAAATTGAGGCCTAGACAGGTGAAATGACTTAACCAAAGTAACCAAACTAGGAAGGCACCCAGACCTGCCATCCAGCTCTCACTTAGAAGAAGCACCTTGGGCCAGGAAATCGTGAATCTCGGATAAGACAGCTGCAGGTGACTGAGCCTGGATAAAGTCACCCAGGAGTCCCATGAAGTTCCTAAGAACAATGATCAGGGACATCAAGCAGCTTGGGAAAGGTTTCTAGAATGCAGCTCCACCAGCCTGAAACACAAGTACCCTTGCCAACTTTCCCAAATTAGAACAGGTTGGCTTGGACTCTTTCCAAGTGCCTCTGACTAACAGAGAAAAGTATTTTTCCATCGCAAACACTGCAGGCAGGCACCAGGCTCTTGAAGGGGAGGGCAGAGACTACATCCCCGATTCCTGTACGGACAAACTGTAAAATTATCCTGACCCGCCATGAGCTGCTTCAGCTGAGCACTGAGAATGGCAGTCTTGGGCATCGTTTCTCAATCTTGGCACGACTAACGTTTGGGGCTGGGTGTTCCTTTGTCGTGGGGGGCTGCCCTTGCATTGTAGGATGTTTAGCAGCTTCCCTGGCCTCTACCAACTAGATGCCAGTAGCACCTCCCTGCCACACATTTTGACCACCAAATATGTCCCCAGACATTGCAAATATCCCCTGGGGGACAAAAAAATTACCTGTGATTGAAAATCACTGTTTTAGGGCCTATGGAGAAGGGAAAAAGCAAAGTCGACCCACTTTCTCTCATCCTAACCCATCCCATCTTACTGAAGAGATATGTGGTCACTGTGCATAAACTCTTATTTTTATTCAAAATAACATAAGTAAAGCCTTCCCAAACAAGAGGGAAAGCAGCCTCTGCACTAACGTGGCCACAGGAACAATCCACTGCTCGAGCTTGTGAAAACACCCAGAGTCAAATATCAGCTTGTTCCACTAACTAGCTGCTTCCGACCCTGTAAGCGAATCCTGTTCCCATTAACGTGAGCGGCTAAGTCTGATTAAACTGGAAGCCCTGGCTGTTTTTCTCAATGACACTGGGCCAGGGCAAAGGTTTCCACTGCTGCTAGAGGGAATGCAAAATGGGTGAATCAAATAGCAGAAGACTCTCATTTACCCCAAATTCAGTACAACAACCAGGACACTCAGACATCCCTGCTTTTAACCATATTGGACTTAGGAGAAAGGGGGAAGTGACAAAGTACATAAACAAGAGATCTGAATTAACAAGTTAATTAAACAGCTGAACCATTACCAAAAAATCACACTCTCGAGTGGAGGCGGAGACCTGAGGATGAGCTCCAGAGCCGCTGGGGTGACTCAGACAGTGCCACATACGTGGGTTCTAACCTCCAACCCCGAGGGCTGGGCTGATGGCCCAGACATGGAAATCAGCATCAGTTACAATGCTCAAGGCTAGAGTCAAAGAAGCAGCATCTTTATGTCTTTCATTAGTCAGCTACCTAACTAGTTAAAGGGTTCACTGACAGACTCAACCAAACTCACTACCATTTGGTAGTAAGTATATTTCACTACACTGCAATTCTTTGAAGACTGACTAACCACAAAACACCTACTTGTTAACACCCAATTACTCACACTACTGCTAGTTTCTCTGCTACTTCCGCACGCTGTACTTAGATCCATTGTTGCACATCTCATACTGCAATGTACTGAAATTTGATAAAAAGTCTGTCTCCCCTAGTGAACAGTGGGCTCCTCCAGGGCAGGGTCTATACCTAGCACAAGGAACGGTACATAAACAGATCCCCACCATCTGCGTGATGGGCAGATGGATGCACGGATGGTGAAGTCTTTTATCTCTATGTTCTTAGACTTAAGCCTGTCCACACATTCTAGTGGGAAGGCACAGCCCATGTCTTCTCTCTCTTTTCTGCAAGGCTTATCAGCACATTGCTCAATAGGTCCTCAATAAACAATAACTGATTTGGTTGGACTTTTAAATCCAAGGAGACAAACTGAAGCCTTCTGTTCATAGACCAGTGACACCAAGGAAGGAGGTCAGAAATCCTAGCTGTCTCCCCTGCCTCGTACGCATTTGAATCTGTTTAGTTTCTTTTAACTGGAAATGGTTTCATGTAGGAAATGAATAGATTCTCTGCTAGGCAGTGGCGATAAGAAGTGAACGAGAGTAACATGGTGCCTTACCTCATAGAGCTCACAGTCTGGAGGAGCAGACAGATGTTAACAATTACAGAAATAAGCAGCTACTATGCTCAGTGAGTCTCTGTAAGAAAAATTTCTGTAGATAGACCCAATCTTCAAGAGAAAAACAGCCAGGGCTTCCAGTTTCTTCAGACTTAGCTGCTCACATTAACGAAGTGAACGAGAGTAACATGGTGCCTTACCTCATAGAGCTCACAGTCTGGAGGAGCAGACAGATGTTAACAATTACAGAAATAAGCAGCTACTATGCTCAGTGAGTCTCTGTAAGAAAAATTTCTGTAGATGGACCCAATTTTCAAGAGAAAAACAGCCAGGGCTTCCAGTTTAATCAGACTTAGCTGCTCACATTAATGGGAACAAGATTCGCTCACAGGGTCGGAAAGTCATGATTTTCTCTCAAATGAATGATACGCTTTCCTTATAAGTATCCTTCCGATGTAAATACAGAAAGTTTATTAGACACCTTTGTTATATAGGCCTCTGTTCCAAAATGATTATAAAATGTTTTAAAAGACCAGTTAACAGATGGTAAGTCTATGCCTGTGTCTGTGTGTTCAAGTGTGTAGTATATGTGACTTACCAAGGATAACTGAAGCTGACCTGAAAACCTACAAAAGCCAGAAAGTACTAGAATAACAGCCACCAGGCATTCAGGAGTCTAGAGATCCACGCATAGCTAACAAGCAGGCCGAAAGCAGGCAAGGGGAATCCTGAGAACTCCAGAAGTTCTGAAGGCCATGACATGATAGTAGAGCTTAGGAATTACAAATTGTCTGTCTGGGAAACACCGAGTAAATCAGCAGGACTCTAGGAAGCAGGGAAAAGAGAGGCCACGAACACACAGATCCCAAGAACAAAGCAGGAATAGGAAGACCAGGAAAAAACTGCCCTAGGGGAAAGCTGAGAAATAAGAGTCTCGAGAAAAGATAAAGATGCCAAAAGCTGGATGGCATGGCATGATAAGGTAACATCTGAGGGAATATATATGAAATGTCTGAATCAATGTACATAGTTTAAGATTAATAAAAATTTAAATCAAAATACCATGCCAACTATGATTCAAAATAATCTCCTACCTCAGTCTTTAAATATTTATCTTTAACCTGACAGTTTCTGCTGCTTTTGATTTAGACTCAGGTGGAAATGCAAATAAAGTCATCTCTTTCACTATGACAAGGCAGACTCCCCAACGACCTGCTGCAATGAGTTTCTTCTCAAAACCTCATGGACGAGAAGGGCCAGCAACCTAAACCAAAATTGCCTTTTTGGGTGCAAACCTGTGATCTAGAGAGGAAAGCCACATATTTGGCTGATTGCAGAGTCAGATCCTACGTCCTCCCCCTTTACAGTCCTAAAAGCTTTTCATCAGTAAAAACCAACCTACTTAATCCTGAGCATTCATAGCTGTTTAGACAGCTGTCCCCCAGCTGCTCTCACCAACCGCAAATTCTCGGCTGCTCTCTTACCTGTCTGAGCGACCAAGTGTGTCCACCCACTCCAAACGGCAGTGACCTTTTCATTCTGAAAATAATGTGCTTCTATTTTCTGGGGCATAGGAAGGAAAGCAGCCTGGGAAGCCAGTTGCCTGTGCTTGTTGCTTCCCCAAACATACAGCTCTCCTGCATCTTAAACAGAAGGAGAACAAAAGAGGTGAAGGACATTAGTCCAAAACAATGGGAAATAATACAAGTCTGGAAAAAAAAAAGTCGTTAAAAGAAGTTGTATTATTCTTACACCACAATGTTGAGTAGAGCAAAGCAAGATAAAAAATTCACATACAACATAACGACGTGTAAGATTTTTTAAAATTCTATAAATAGAAAACAAGGTCAAATGTTCTTAGTTTGTCAAGGAATAGAAACATGAGAGATTATTTTTTCATTAATTCATTCAATAAATACTTATTCAACATCTACCATGTATAAGACATGTTTCCGTTTTCTACATTTTTAAAAATATATATGCTTGTATCCTTTGCTAGGAAAAAATATGTTAACTTTTTTAAATAATAGGTTAAAAGATATATTTTTAAAGCTTAGATTTTTTAGACATAAGATTATTTCACTACAAGCCCTATCCAGCAGACAATGTAATGTTACCACACCACGTCTGTGTAGCGCTTCAACTCATCTGAACC